AAACTCGCCACCTCTTAAGAAAATGAGGTTTCACAGATTTTAAAAAAATCAAATAGTTCATTGAGTAACAATGATAAAGAAAGGCACTAGATATAATAGGGAGTCCCTCTGCCTGGGGTCCAGGGTACTCAGGCAAATAACTACATTTTTCATAAATTAAAAACCAGAGGATGTGGGGTTGATTTGGCTGCACGATGTTCACAGTAAAACAAATGTATTCAAATCAAAACAAATGTCTCTTGCCTTTGTGCAACAATTTGACAAATGGACTTTCTTTCTTTTTTTTTTTGTTCCCTTCATATAAACTTTGGAACACCAGGTATGAAAATTCATGTTCGGAGGGAGTAATAATAAATTTCCTTACACATTTTCATGAGGATGTGACTCAAAATTTCTCTCTAAAACTCTCTCCATCTCTTGCCTTTTGCTCCTACCAGTCAGTAATAATTTAAGGGTTAAAAAAATCAAGAAAGATCTACAGAAACTCTTCCCAGAGAATCATTACTCCATGCCTACGTGAACACTGCTAATGATCTGTATTAGGTGCATAGAAAGCTTGGTTAAGTCTTCAATAAAATTAGTAGCATGCCCATGCATACATATTACTGCATTTACATTTATAGGTAAGTCTGTGAGCCTAACTATAATTTCATTTCATGGGAAGTCATTCATATCAGGCAGCTCCAATTTCAAATAATTCAAAGGGAAATTGGTACTTAAAATTGGAATCTCTTCTGGCCATAAGCCCTAACAAGGAAACAAGCAGAGGAAACATGCATCAGTCATTCTAGACCTGGAGCAAACACTCTTGTAATTTATTTTTACTATCAGTGGCTATGTTTTTTCATTGTGAGTCAAGAAAAAAATAATACACAAACACTTTTCATTTCATAAAGAGGTTATTACTTTCTATCTATTCTATTTAATCTAATGTTGGCTTGGGCTCATTATGCATCATACACTTCCTATTGAATGTCTGCCTAGCCACTCCATTTTCAAATTAAATTAATAATTCAAAAACACAAAGGTTACTGTAAACAATTCAGTTTCCTTTTCTACATGTGATTTCCTGCTGTGCAGTAAGCAATATAAAATTTTAATTTAAATCCGCGAGTCTTCAGAAACTATTAAATATTGACTCACTAATCCTTTGTTTTATAAAGGATTTTATAATTGTTTGAAGAAAACTGATTAACCTGCAGGTTAATTTAAATTTTCTATTCCATTAGTGAAATGAACAATGAAACAACTTTCTTTGACCAAAGTTACATGTTCATGCAATTATGGTTTCTGTTAAAATTTGAAGACATTCGGGATTTTATTCTTTAACGTCCTGGGTCTCCTTATGGAAATAATCTCAGAGACTTGTGTATAGTCTTGCCTTCCTGCACCTCTGAGGTTTCTAAAGGAGTTCTGTCAATGTCAATTCTAAACGGGACCAATTTCATGTCTCACTTTTTAATTTTCAACTTACCTTTACAAATGTAATAGGAGACTCTCTCCTTATTCCGGTTTCCATGTGCACAAGAGCACACTCACACACACACACAGCAAAATCTCACTACACTCGGGTGGGATTCATGATAATTTTGTCGTAGATTGATGTGCCTTTATTCTACTGTTAGCAAGATACATGTTTGATAAATGAATGAATAACTTGTTTTAAAAGATTTAGAAATCAACATAAGTAATTTGTGCAGCAGTAACCTATGATTCAAAACTACTTTTAAGGATATCTGCTAAGTTTAGTCATTCTGAGAATAGGCCTAAAAGTTCTAAAACTGCACTCTTTTAAAGTATTATATAGTTTGGGCTATTCTGTAATTATTTCCTATAAAATGTTAGTTTATATATGACATACTTGCCCCATACTTCCTCTAACTATTGAAGCCTTCAATGTTTTATTCCCCTCTCCATAAAGTATATAAATTGATTATGGATTGCCTGTACACACACACACACACACACACACACACACACATACACACGAACACAATCCTTTGAAGTAGGAATTGTGTCCATAGGTTAAATTTGAAGCTGACTAGCCTTGGCAATATTTTCCTAGGAAGCACTATAAATATGTTTTATTTCAAGGCACATGGCTGCCTTCACAAAAGCCATATAAAATAAACATTTGTTCCATTCTTTTTATAATTTAAATAAGTTCTGATAAATCAATAAAAGGCCCCATAGGAAACTCTAACCAGAAAAGTTGCATCAAATCCTGATAATGTAATTTATGTGTTAATAAGCATTGTAAAAGTTGGACATTCTTTTGGAACATTATTTTTCCACTGGAAATGTGGTTTGGCAAGTTAAAAAAAATGACTCTCTTTAAAGCTGGGGAATATCATTTCTTTTAAAATTTATGTTCTGTGTTTCAGACTTTATGAACACTAACAAGTACATTTTAAACATTACCACTGTGGCTATGTTTTTTATTCTTTGTGCAGCCTTCATTGCTACTGAACATAAAGTTCTTAGAACAGCAAACATCTATTTTCCTGTCTTCTATGAGGGAGTGTGCAGAAATAAACATTGAGAATTTATGACACGGAGGTTAGAAAATTAACTCTGGCCTAGACAAGTTTGGGAAGCAGTTTCTGATCAGAGGGCCTTGCTTTTCTGGGCACGAGGCAGCACCAATGCACAGTCATTGCAGATTCTGTTCATAAATGTGCTTCTGATCGATCTTTGTTAAATCAGGTTAAATGGGAATGCTGCTTTTCTGGATGTCTTCCAAAAGCTCACGAAAGAGTTTGTTCAAGGAGTCACATTTTGATTAAATACACAGTGTGGCTCTCTTTAAATAATATCTTAGGACAGAAAATGCTCTCAAAGAGAAGTTGAGAATATTTTCTCTGGTTATAACTGTCAGATCCAATGGCATTATTATTTTTAGAAATATCTTCATTTTTAATGCTTTTCTCTATGCAGTAGCCCAATATTGCCTTCAGTGCACAACAAAACGATATAACACCAAAATTTTTAGTATAATGCAAATGTTCAGAATTTTTGTTAAATTATAAAGTATAATTTCATTGTATTTATACAGTTACATGGACTAGCTAAATCTATATTGTTTGAATACCAACACATAATTTCTGAAAGGAATGGCTTTAATATATAAATTCTCTTATTTTCCTTCTATTTTCACTTTCCATCTTATCGACTTTTGAAAAATTATAGCTATGTAGAGAAAAATTCTGTTCACTAAATGCATATGATTTCAAGATTTGTCAACAAAGTGAAGATTGCATTTGAAAATTTATTAATATCAATTTACCAATTTTTTACAACAGAAAATGGCCAAAAAATAATATTTGATATGTAGCTCATGTAAATATATAATTAGTACCATTTCACTCAATAAATGATTCAATATTATGGGTCTAATCTCCCCCTGATGCACAGGAAATTTATTTTTCAATGGCACTTATTACTCTAGGACTGTTAACCTGAGGGACTGAATCTTATTCGCTGCGTGCATCTGAATAAGGATAAATCCACTCTTTTAGAGCCTCCAAATGACCAGCTCCTATCACTGTTTCTTGTGTTACATAAATTTACACTGCAATGAGCTATGTGTTATATTCAGGGCGAGCAACTGATACTCTAAATCAGAGGTGGGCAAATCCAGCCCACTGCCTGCTTTTATAAATAAAGTTTTAATAGTACAGAGCCATGCTCATCACTTTATGCATTGTCTATGGCTGCATTTGTGCCACAATGGTAGAGTTAAGTCAGTATTTACTGTCTGATCCTTTACAGAAAAAAATTGTCAACCTTTGATCTAAATGGATAGCTTTATGGAATCCATGTTAAATACAATACCTTGGAAGCCCCAGTATTAAAAGCTATAGTCCCAATTCACAATAGAATGACAAGTACATAGTTCAGTTATCCATGCCATAATATGCAACATGAATTGCGTTATTTAGGAATGATGTTCATGGAGCCATAGAAACCCACTAACACTTCTAAGTTCTGCATTAAATAATATATTATCTAGCCCATCCAGTGTGGTTCAGTGGTTGAGCATCAACCTTTGAACCAGGAGGTCACAGATTGATTCCCAGTCATGGCACATACCCAGGTTGTGGGCTCAATCCTCAGTGGGGCACGTGCAGGAGGCAGCCGAACAATGATCCTCTCCCATCATTGATATTTCTATCTCTCCCTCTCCCTTCTTCTCTGAAATCAATAAAAATGTATTTTTAAAAAAGAACAGAAATATATTATCTAGAGGTGAACTGTTATATTTCAAAGTAAATAATAAATATTAAAAAATCTATTTTCCCTTAAAATTACCATTGACACTAGCAATAAAGATATGCTAACATAAACAAATGATTATTTAAACTAGTTCTGAATCACTTGTTTCCTAAGCAACATAAATAGAAGCCAGGCTCTCTCATTTGCTGTGAAATGTTTGTTTGTTATTAATTTTCCTGCTCAGTGCTTTTTTTATACCTAAATGCAAACTGCTGGTTAATGAAGAAAAACATCTGAACTCTTTTTATTATGTTTATTCGTTATAAATACATTCTGAAACCAAATTTAACTTACCATCATTTCAGTGCATACTGGTTACAACTTAGCAACATCTTTCTCAGGATGTTGTCATTTTATAAAGAAGATGGACTGTTCAGTGGAATGCTTTTATTTTATCAATAAAAGTGAGACTTTTCAATGCCTTTATTATAAATGTACTGCTTGATATTGGCTATCATTTTGTATCACATTATTCAATATCAGTTTCAGAAACACCGGGAGCCTCACACACCTATTAGGTTCTCAGAGCCAACTAGCCATGAACAGAGGAAGTAATACAATCGCTTTTGTTAATGGTCTCATGCGACAGGCAGAGGCAGTCAATGTTAGACCTGGTCAAACACATCTAGCTCTAGGTGAAATCTGAGGGGAGATGCAGCAACAAGAAAGCAGCACCGACTGAGCATGCTCCTATTCAGGCAGAGACAGAAAGGGAGTGGACGTACTGTAGAAGCTGGCCATTACGTAGTTTTGGCAACGATCACCAGTAAACTCATTTGGGCACCTGAGAGAAGAAACAAAAAACAATGGTAGAAAAACAGAGAAAAAGAGAAGAGGTGAATATATGCTAGAAAGAAGCTCCTTCAGTGTCATTTGACCGAACTTGGTGAGTTCACCCTCAGGAACGGAGTCTTTGTCCTAATCATGGTTTTCAGACTCTGGCGTTTCCCCCAAAGGGTTAGAAATCTGGACCAAATGCGGTCCTCATGTTTGTATGACAGGAAGATTCCAGTATTTTAAGTGACTGCTTTCTTTCAAAGGGAGCCACTTAAAATTAAAACATCATCTCGGTTTGCTATTTGATAACTTCAAACATTTGGAAGGACACTTTTTTGGTTGGCCTGCCTGCCATGGTTGCCAGCATCACTGGCCACTCTGGTGGGTCATTCTTTTAAATTGATGACCTTTCGGGCCCATGTTGTGAGACAGCTGAACAAGGTCAGATGCAATGGTTTATGCCCCGAGTGGTGAAACCATAATTCAAACAAAAGGAATCCGTTACAACTGAGCTGTAAAAACACCAAGTGGTAGTGCTTGTTGCTGTAGTTTTGGGGGAAAAAGCAAATTTCAGATTATTTTAACATACTTTCTTGGTTTTGGACTTTCATGGGCACATTCTCAGTACATCTTGCTCCAGTGAATCCAGGTTGGCACCTAGAGGGCAAAAATGTGATAAGCAATAGAACGCTAAGGACATTGAACTTTCAGACTGGCAATTTTCCTCCTACGGAATATGGAGATTCCTACAAATGACCTGGTGACTGAACAACATAAAGAAAAGAAAAGACAAAAAACATTTAGAAAACCATGTCCCATGAAAACTGTGGGTATATATTTTTGTTGTTATTGAAATGCTTCAGTCTTCATAAGTTAACTGAAATTTAACTAGAGTGAGGTTGAAAAGTTGGATGGGGCTGGCAAGACCCGGGCAGCTAACTCATTTTCCCTTTGGCATTTCCTTAGTTGCCACTGATCCTTGACTCTTCCTATGTTAATAAGAGTGACCATTTTGTAAGGAATATAAATATCTAATCACTATGTTTACACCTAAAACTAATATAATATTGCATTGCCAGCTGTCATTGAAAATAACTTAAAAACAAAACACTGGTTTTGGTGAGAGCTTACATGAGAGCCCATAACCTTCAATTATTTAAATCATTCTGAGCTTTTACTTTTATAAACATTCAATTTTGTACTTATTTCATAGGTATTTTTATAATTTAAGTCATCAAACTGCATTGGAAGTCAAGCACTTTTGCACCCTAATGATTACTGACAAGAGAAACTACATTCCCTGTATTAAAAAAATATATTACATATTAGGTCTCATTTTTAATGTTGAAAGTGAAAGAGGCCCATTTTTATTAGAACAAATTTCATTTCATTCAACTATTCTAAATACAAATACATTTTTAACACTTAAACATTAAAACTTCTACAGTAGTACTTGATGTCATTTTGCTTTTGAGGTAAAATTATTTGGAAATTGTATAAAATTTAAATTTTATTCACTCACATATATTCACTTATCAAAATTCTAGAATTGATATACTATTGTTCTTGTAGTGGAGCTATTGTCCCTAAATATGGAAGTCCTTTACAACTACTCTTTTTGTGTTGTTATTCCAGTAACAAAAGCATTTCAGATTGAATTCATTTTACCCACTATCATGCTCTAATAAGAATGGGCATACCTTAAGCTCTATTGTTACTAGGGCCATCAAAAGATTCTAAGAAGCAAATATACTTACAGATGCTCAACACCCAAGGCCATGATTATTACTAATAGTTTATCTAAACCATGAACATCATGCAAAGCACCTAATGCAATTGAGTTCTGATAGCACATACCTCATGATTTATACACAACCCTTCCTTCTCCAGAGTAAATAAGAGTAAACACTATCTTTTGGCATCAAAGAGAAGTGAACAAAACTATTTATTTTTACTAACACAGGGGTGATTTAAAAAATTCCCGTTAAAGCCAAATTAAATGCCAAAAAATGTTATCACGTGATTTGGCACATCTGATTCTCCTACTTTATGAAGAATGGCATGAAAGATAAAATACTGGCAGTTCCAAATTTTCAGCCTCATGTGTACCTGTGTAAACTTAAAGTATAAATGATCATTAACAATAATATCAATGAGCTTAACAACAAACACCTTGTATTGATTGATATGGCCATTTTGAGCTCTTCAAAGTCAATTTTATATAAATTAGTTGGTTATTTTTGGTTAGAATATTTTTGCTTCAGTAAATAGAGGAAGATCTACTCAGAGAAATAAAGAAATAAAAACTATAACCTTTGAGGCTGGATTACTTCTCATAAAGACATCACTCTACATGCTTCAGTAAGAATGTCTTCATAGATATACAAGAAAAATGCATGGAAACCTACTTTCCATATAATGTATTTGACATAAATTTTGAAAGTATTTGGGATTTTTATTTGTGTATTTGTTTCTGAACCAGGACTATAAATCCATATAGACATACCCTGTAATTAAGCAGGTAATTTCAGAATTAAATGTATTCTACAATGATTATTTCATCTTACCTGTTTGCCTTCTTGAAAAAAAAAAAAATTCTAATATTGTTCACACAATGATCCACTATTTTCATGCAAAGAACTCGATATAAGATATGTGAATAATGTGTGTTTGTGTAGGGGAGAGAGAGAGAGAGAGAGAGAGAGAGAACTATAACTATTTGAGGTCAGGAATGCACTTATGAGTCCCTTAAGAGAAGGAATGTGCATTTATTAGAAAATTGTCATGTATGCATCATAGATGACAGTTTTGAGATCAGAGGGCACAGAACAACTAGGTGAAGGGGATAAAAAAAATCTCACCCAATCAATTTTATAATGAGTATGAAATTCTATAATGATGTTTCCCAGGAAACTAGCATTATGGGATGGTGGTTTATCTCTATCATAAGATGATACAGAATATTTGGTACAGTAACACTAGAGCTTAAGGTGTGCCCGTTCTTTTTTGAATTATCGGCTATGTCTAAGCTAGAACTATCCTTTCACTAATGTTGATCTTCACTCAGATACATTTTCCTAGTGTGAAGCCTTATTATTTTTCAGAGTGTGCTCCATGGACCAAGAGCACCAGCATCTTCTGGTTCTTGTTAGTGGAAATGCAGAATCCCAGGCCCTAGTCCAGAACTACTGAATAAGAGTTTGTATTTTAACAAGATCCCCGGGAGATTTGCATGTACATTAAAGCATAAGCTGTCAGGGACCCTGACCTTGGAAGATGAAGGCTAAGGCTCGCAGCATCCTGGCACCATCACATCTTGGATGTGAGCAGCCCACTGGGCTTCATAGGGCCTTAGTTTTTCTCAGTGATAAGATTAAGGAATTTAACTAAGCGATTCTCAAAGGTTTCTTTTACCATAACAGTATTGGGAATGGAAGCTCATCCTAGCACATGGAATCACTGTGCCAAAACCCCTACGTCATTTCTTTTGAATGCATTACCAGTCAGGAAGGACTCAAGGACTTCTAAAAAATCTATTTTGATAGAATAAATTTTTAAGACAACCATGGAGGTAAGACAAATCTCAAAACCTATTCTCAAGCAATTCAGGCGTTCAGCAACAGTCATCGTGTAGTTTTTGTGGATACCAAGAGCTGTTGCCAAATCAAATGGACGGAAGTGGGAACTGATTTTCCGCATAAGCAAACTGCAGACTGCATTGATTGTGTAGAAAAAGTATGTGCAAAAATGAACACTCATCTGCTCTATACGCCCTGAATCAAGTCTATGGAATTACTTCTAAAGGAACAGGAAGACTCTCTGCCTTCTGACTTATTGCTGTATTAGCATTATATGCTAAGCATCCAATCTATCACTTTCCTTGGAGATAAGAATACCATAAATTTAATCTGATTTTGAACAATACGCTTTGGAATGAGTTTGAGCAAATCCAAGAATTTTATTTCTTAGAAGAACCTGGTTGAATAACAATCAACCCTCTACTGTAGCTTCAAAAATACATATATCATTTGTTCCATTGATTAGATTAGAAGATGGAAAGACAGATTTCTTTTGTTTTACTTTGGTATTTGCTCATAATGTGATGTGACCTTTTTTCTATATTTGTTCTTTTTTTAAAATTTTTTATTGATTAAGTTATTACATATGTGTCCTTTCCCCCACATTTATATTTGTTCTTATTGAGACGAAAATTCACAGACAGTTTGTCTAACATTAAGTATCACTTCTTCCAACTGACCCTGACCTGCAGCTCCCCATCTCCCCACTTCCACACCTGGGTATGGATTTCCTCTCAGGCTCTCATATGGGACCCTGTCCCCATCTCTTTGACTGCCCTTATCTGTTTGTGTTGTGATTATCTTTTTGTAAGGACAGTGACCACATTTTGATAATTTTATCTCTAATGTTTAGCACAGTGCCCAGCTCATAAAGGGCTCTCATAAAATATCTGTTAAACTGAACCTACTATAGGATCAGACTGAAGTGTTCAGTAAAAACTGTATCAAAGAGAATTTCATATAGTCAACTGATTTGCCAACTACAGGTCAATATTGAACTTCTTTTATTTTTTTAGTTTACGACAGATTCTCTTCTGTAGACTCCTAAGTAACTTTTTTTATAGGGGCTCCCAGCACCCTCCTCACAGACTCCTTCCCCTAAATAGAAATCTTTACCATTGTGTTGAGAATTTGAAAAGACTCTAAAACTCTTTAATGATAAGTCTATTACCTCAAATTTAAACCCTGTTACTGAAATACCAGTTTACTTAGGGTTCAATAAAGTAGTACAATCTAGTAACCACGACTTCTACACAGCATCAGTAAAATAAAAACTGCCCTAATGATAAACTTACTATACTGTGAAAATCGTAAGATATTTACTATATAATTTACCATAAAGTCATGTATTTTGAAAATCAAAATTTAGTGTTCATTGTATTTTTTATATTCTAATTGAACAAATTATTTCCCATTTTTTGGTGGGATG